CACATCATTACAACATCCTCGCACATCAGCTACAGTGTGTGTATGTGTGTGTGTGTGTGTGTGCGCGCGCGCGTGTGCGTGTGTGTGTGTGTGTGTGGACCTGCTGCTGCTGCTGCTGTGAACGCGCTCTGCGCCGGGCTCGCTCGTCTGCACTGTACGTGACGTCAAACCAGCATGGCGGTCAAGGTGACTTCGGCATCGCTCCCTCAGCGGTGTCTCAATCTCTGCTTTTTCACACCTTCATATCTTGTGTCCGTTTTTTATCTCCGTCGGAACGATCGAAGCTCCTGTGTGAACCGGGGTGGGGGTCGCGTCGGCAGCGGTGAACCCAGAGAGGCTGTAGCATCCTCGGTGCTAGCCGCCGCCCCGCGGTAGCTGACCGGCCTTGAGACATCCACAACCTCGGAGTTAGCGGCGCGATGCTAAGCGGCTGCTGCATTTAGACCCACCGCGATAAGAACACCAACCTCAGCTGAGCTTGCATCTTTTCACCGTCGCCTCGCACGTTTCCATTTCGAAGCTTAAACGCGTCACGACAGCGGTGTGTGTCCTCGCTTGACAGTGGCTCTTGCTAGCTGGCTACACAGCTGTCATTGTGAGCCTGTCGGGACTCGTCCACTAACATTACGAGTCGGTTCTTTCACAAAGTGACTCGTGTTGTTTGTGCACAAGGACGCAGTCGTTTGCTTCTCGTGGTCGTGTCCTCCCTTTCGCCTCGGGTTGTTTCTCCTTCACAGCAGCGGACGTGTCAAGGAGACATTCAGCCACCTCCGCCTCTTGTTTGGCTTCAGTTCACCGCAGAAAACGAGCTTTAACCGGCATCTTCTTTGGTTTGAATACACAAACACACGCTCTTAGTTTGTTCCAGTGTCATGACTTTGTTTTATTGTGTTGTTTTAGGTGCAATCTACTAAACGTGGGGACCCGAGTGAGCTGAAATCAATCTTCCAGAAGGTAAGATGTGGCAAAAACCTGCTTAAATCTTTCTTTGGTCAGTCTTTATGTGTCTTCACCTCTGTGCATGTCCACAAACAGTATTTGTGAAACAGCCACATCTGTAGAAAACATCTGGTCCCAAGACTTCACTCTGTGAATGAGCTTGGGTTGTGTCATGGGGTTTAAATTAAAGCATTAGCCACAGTTAAAGTTCCAGCACAGACTGTTGTAGTTACATTAACTCACAGTCAACTGGAGATGAATAGTTTTGTCAGTGATTGTCAGTTGTTTTTCTTTCTGGTATAAGTTGAAGTTTAAACACAAATGTGGGTCAGACGTGTCATGTCAGCTGTTTTGAACACAGTGGTTGTTGTCACCACACGTTGATGTTGAAAGTGTGGCAGTCAGAGAATGGAGCTTAGACTTCTAATCTGAGGGCCCAGTGCTCAGGATGGTGTGTCAGGTTTTGCTCCAGCAAGGGCCTGCTTGCTCTTGTACTTAAAGGATCAGCGATCACCATGTCACACCCGTGTGCAGACAATATTTCAGTCACAGTGAAGCTTAATGCATGACTGTGACGTGTCATGAGGAACTGCCATAAGAGGAGTGTTGGTTAATCTTCACCTTTCTCCAAATGTCCTCTGCGTGGCGAGTGAGTGACCAGTCTGGTGTCATTTGGGCTATCAGTTGTCAGTCAGCTGCTAAACACACACGGGTTAAATTGCTTTATGAAAACACTGGTGCACGTGTGCCTGCTCATGCATGTAACTCAACTGTGAAATCAATGACCTTGATTGTTCAGGTTGCACCAGCACTGTGAAGGAAAAGACCGACGGTCGATCACAAACCTGGAAAAAATGGTGTTATTAACCATGAAATTGACAAGAAAGTTAATAATTTGAAAGTAATCATCAAGTGTATGTAAAAGTTGCACTTAAATGTTTGTGTAATGTTCACAGCCTGTCACACCAGCTTTAAACAAGTAACAAAGAGCCTACAGTATACAGAGAACTGCTCACTCAAATCCATGTTCTCTACACGTGCCTCTAAACCAGCTCGGACGCTGTGAGGGTTAACGAAGCAAACATAAAATCATGCTTTTGAGATGGATTAACTCTTGCTCATGCTAACGTTAGCATCAGAGAAGTGTTGGGTGTCCATGTTATATATATCTGTCTCACCCCTCAGTATGCCAGTGTCGCGGACAAGGATGGGGAGAGGTTCATGACCCCGGGAGACTTTGTCCAGAGGTATCTAGGACTACACACACAGATCCACCACAACCCCAAGACTGTGCAGCTCATCGCTGCAGTGGCTGACACCACAAAGGACGGGTGTGTACTGACACACACACACACACATACACACAGATTATCATCACCAATTTACACTTTATTGAGCCATGTCTGATTAGTATTTGTCATTATCACCACTTGGAGATAAGATAAAACCATTGAGGCCTACTCCCCTCACTGATGTTTCATTCATGCACATAACCCTAAGAGAAAAGTAGTTTCGTTCAGAAATGACAGAGTTTTAGATGTAGATAATCTTAATATGGTCTCTGGCCTTTCAGTTCACACCAAAACTTTTAACAGTAAAGGTAATGTAATGTAACATAATGTAAATAACATGTAATGTTTTTGTACGAAAGTTAAATTGGTGAAATCTGTCTCTGAGTGTAAATGTTTGTGTGTTTCGGTGAGCTGGTTCTTCAAGCTCCCTAATTGACTTGATCTTGGCCTCTTTCAAGGTTCTGTGATGTGTTTATGTTACAATATACTTCTTTTTGTTCCTCCCATCTTGTGCACCGCCCACTATTGGCAGGCTGATCTCATTCCAGGAGTTTCTTGCTTTTGAGTCGGTGTTGTGTGCGCCTGACGCTCTCTTCATCGTAGCCTACCAGCTGTTTGACAAGAATGGATCTGGATCTGTTTCCTTTGGTATGAGCCTCTGCTTTTTATGGGTATTTGCATGACCTTTGATTTTATGATGACGTCAGTGAGCACATAAAAAGGACGATATAATTATAGCACTGTATTTTGTGTGAAATATTTTTGCAGCACCCCTTTTCTATTTCCTGCAGCGCAGTGTGAGGAATGAATTTGTGACATTGTTAACCAGATTACTCCTCAGTCTTAAGTCATAGACTTACATAATCACTCCCATGCACAGTGTCTACTTACTTTCTTATGTCACTCAAAAAGCTTCCTGGCATCAAAATGATTAAACTTAACTATTGTTTAGGAAATGAATTATTGATTATAAATTCTTTTGAACATGTATTTTTGCTGCAGAAAATGTACGTGACATTTTCAGCCAGACCACCGTGCACCACCATATTCCCTTCAACTGGGAATGTGAGTTTATCCGTCTGCATTTTGGGCACGACCGCAAGAAATGCCTCAGCTACCTCGAGTTCACCCAGTTCCTGCAGGTACACACACACTCTCACCAATCAGTTTTCTGCACTCTCTCCTTCTTTCACTTGGTCCCTCTTTCTCACACACTGTGGTTTCATATTTTATTTAGGAGCTACAGTTGGAGCATGCACGCCAGGCATTTGCCCAGAAGGACAAAGGGAAGAATGGCGTCATCTCTTCCATGGACTTCAGTGACATTATGGCCACCATCAGACACCACATGCTCACACCCTTTGTGGAGGAGAACCTTGTCTCAGTGAGTGTCTGTGTCAGTGAGCGGCTTACTGACAGTATGTTGTATAATTTCACACTATGGCCACAGTGAATATTCATCTTTGATTGACAGGAATGTTTTCAGTGGGCTACAGTATCTCCCATACTTTGTGGTTGCAAACTTATATTTGTAATTAAAGGTTAACATGGACTAAAGTTTGTATTTTTCCCTCTAATGTGAAAAACAATCCTTGTGTTTTGATCACTGCCAAATAGAAGAATAATCCACTCTGATCTGTGGGGTTATAAAAATGTTCACACTCAGTTAAAGTAGAACGACACTTCCTATACGGGGTTCTTAGCCCTAAAGGATAATATAATTTTTTACCTGATTAAGGTAAAGATAAAGAGGTAAGAACCTGCAGAGATTTGCTCAGTAGGAATAAGCTTTTGTTGTTGATTTATTTAATTAAATCTTTAGTGTCAAGAGATAAATTATTAAAGCACAAGCGCAGGCAACAATGACAAATATCTAAGAACAATAGGAGAGTTAAAATAAAGACGTGAAGTTTCTCCTTAGCCATTGCAATACAGGAAAGAAATTAAAGTAAATTTTGAATTACTGATATTTGCAACTTTACATCTTTGCTTTTTCATTTGGGGTTTTAATAATAATACCTTTTGTATAAAGTTCCTGATGTTCTACATTCTTTCTTTTCCCAGGCTGCAGGTGGAAGCACCTCTCACATGGTCAGTTTCTCTTACTTCAATGCCTTCAACTCCCTCCTGAACAACATGGAGCTGATTCGTAAAATTTACAGCACACTGGCTGGCACGCGGAAGGACACGCTCGCAACTAAAGGTGCACACATCGTTATGTTACAGTGATTTTGTGTCTTTGCTTTTTAGCTGAGATGCTCTCAGGGGTGTCAGGAATATTCTTGATATTGTGGAGGGTTATTTTCTCTCATCTCTCTCTTATCTCCCTGCAGAAGAGTTTGTTCATGCTGCCAACAAGTTTGGTCAAATCACTCCCATGGAAATTGACATTCTGTACCAGTTGTCTGGCCTGCACTCCCCCTCTGGGTAAATATTTACTGATCAGTTTTTACTGATATTTACTGTTCAATCTTATGATCGACCTGCACATGGAAACATGACAGTAATGTTAATAACAGGGGAATTAATTACTGTGTCTCAGGCGCCTGAACCTAGCTGACATTGAGAGGATAACTCCATTAGAGGAAGGATGTCTGCCATACAACCTGGTCGAAAGTCAGAAACAGGTAGGATGCTTGTAACTTTGTGTTTGGAAAATCCTGATTCATAATTCACATTGACATAAAATCACATGAGCAGTTATCTGTCTCTTAAAAGTCCTTAAAAAGCTAATTTATTTGACCTGTATGACATTTTTCTTTATTCACATCAGAAATGCAGGATTTTTATCATCGTCTTCTCTTCCTCTTTTGTATTTTCATCAGGCCCATGGTGACGGCTCCAGGCCTGTCTGGCTTCAGGTTGCGGAGTCAGCCTACAGGTTCACTCTGGGCTCCATCGCTGGAGGTGAGCTGCACCATGAGTCAAACTGCTGTCTGATGAGCACACAGCAGCGTCCAGTATGTGAATTCTGATCAATTATATTAAGTCTGAGTTATGTGGGTTTGCGTAGCCACGGGAGCGACGGCGGTGTACCCCATTGACTTGGTGAAGACTCGTATGCAGAACCAGAGGTCCACAGGATCCTTTGTTGGGGAGCTGATGTACAAGAACAGCTTTGACTGCGCTAAGAAGGTGCTCCGCTACGAGGGATTCTTTGGCTTCTACAGAGGTAGGTTTAGGAAACTGCACCTGTGTTATTCTTAGAATGCATTCGAACCACCAGGTTTTTTTTTTGGGCTCCTGTCTTTTATTCTGTTCATTCAGCTCAGCTGTGTGTCATTTTTCTAAATGTTTGAGTTAATATTTATCACCGTTCCATTCAATTCTTGAACACATATCAGCCGAAAAAGCCTTTATCATTATATTTTTAAGTGTATGTTGTTGCCCTGTTGTAAAGTTCATTTTCTCTTGCTTACCTCTCAAATATAAATCAAACCATACACAAAAATAGTATTCTATCACATTAGCATGTATTTTTGTATAGCAGCAAATGTTCAGAGGCAGTGAGTGACACAAATCTTTGAAAATACAGAACAGAAGAACTCTGCTAGTGACTAGGATTCTATCATCCTTTGGCTCAGTCAATTGGGTCAAGTAACTATAGGACCGTGAGACAAAAATGAGTCTCCTGGTGTTAAACTCTCCTCCTCGCACACAGTCCATGTTCTCATTTCCTTTTAATGCTCATTTCTTGTTCCTGTCAATTCCGTATTACCATTGAAATGAGATTCTCATGTCACCCTGTTCCCCTCGATGCCCCACAGGTCTGGTCCCTCAGCTTATAGGTGTGGCACCTGAGAAGGCCATCAAACTCACTGTGAGTACGGCCCTGCACAATAATGACCCCCCTCCACTCATTTATCACTTTGCATACACACTTGTTATGTTACCTTAGTTTTAATTAAAGCAATTTTTACAATACAGTTTACTGCAAGTTATTGTTGCCATAAGTAGTGACAGTAAAATCAAACATCTGCAAATTAAAACAAATGAATGAAAAACATAATATGATGAATCTGTTTTTGATTTAAAGGTATTTTGATTTTTTTCTCATTTTTTATGAAGCACTTTGTAACTTTGTTAAGAAAAGCTTTAAAAATAACTCTCGGTTTCAGCTCCAACCATAATCAGAGTTAATAACTACTTTTTTCATCTGTTGTATCATTTAAAATTGATTTGCCTTGCCTCATTAGAATTGTATTATTATGAAATTCATTACATTAGAGCACATTTACAGAAGCAAGATGAGCCTTGTATTTTTTTGTCTTTGGTCTGATGCTTGTTTTTGTTTGTGTCTCACAGGTGAATGACTTTGTTAGAGACAAGTTCACTGAAAAAGACGACACGATTGCTTTGGCGGCAGAGATCATGGCAGGTGCCTGTGTAAGTATCAGGCTCCACAGTTTTTGGTTGTTGAAATAACTCATGCATGAAACCTCCATGTGTTTTATTAACTTGCTTGCAGAGTTCCAAATAATGTCACTAACATCAGACTGAAATACTGAATTGTTTCCAGAGTGATGATCTCACTGTCCAATGCAAAATGTTTTTTTGTTTCTTCTGTTCTTGTTTTCGATAGCGTTGTTCATCTTTACACACATTGGCCCAGCACTGCATACCATCCAAGGAAATGGAAAAGTAAATGAGTGATCAGGATTTAAATTTTCTACTCTTGCAAGACTCGACTCCCATACCTCAGCTGCGTATATGCGACATGCAGGAGAAGTGATGTCCATCTTTTGTGATCAAGTCAGTGAACAAGCTGCTCTTCTCCTCCTATACTCAGGCTGGAGGCTCTCAGGTGATCTTTACCAACCCTCTGGAGATCGTGAAGATTCGCCTGCAGGTGGCAGGTGAGATCACCACCGGACCTCGAGTCAGTGCACTCAGCGTGGTCCGTGACCTTGGTTTCTTCGGCCTTTACAAGGTACTGGACCCTTGTTTAATTCACCGACATTTACTGTGCGTTGATGTACACTCTTCTCTTTGCCTCAGTCTTACTCCACGAGCACAGTCCGCTACATGTCTTTAGTTTGTTTGTGTGTCCAGGGTGCTAAAGCGTGTTTCCTGAGAGACATCCCGTTCTCAGCCATCTACTTCCCCGCGTACGCACACATCAAGGCCATGTTCGCCGATGAGCATGGCAGGTTGGGAGCTCTGCAGCTTCTCACAGCTGGAGCGATCGCAGGTAATTTTAGATTGCGACAGAACAGAAGCAGTCATTGAGAACGTGATCCAATGAATCTCCGGCATTCAATCTTGTCAAATACTGCTTGAAAGAGATGCCATAATTCAGTTGACATGACAGCTGCTAGAAACAAGAAATACAAATCAACAAGCTATTGCTTTTACGCTACAAAGGTTTTAAGAAGTAGCATCTCATCCTTTTTTCTTTTTAACTATTTCCCAGGTATCCCTGCTGCCTCCCTCGTGACGCCCGCTGACGTTGTCAAGACCCGTCTGCAAGTGGCAGCCCGGGCAGGACAGACATCTTACTCTGGAGTCATCGACTGCTTCAGGAAGATCATGAGAGAGGAGGGATTCAGGGCGTTGTGGAAGGGAGCTGGAGGTGTGTGTCTGTTTGTGTGTTCTCCTGCAGGCGGTAACACAATGTGTCTCAGATTATTGTTGCATTGAAACCACGCTGACTTGTGCGTCTGCTTTCCTTTTGTCCAGCTCGTATGTGCCGGTCCTCTCCTCAGTTTGGTGTGACTCTGGTGACTTATGAGCTTCTGCAGCGGTGGTTCTATGTCGACTTCGGAGGACAGTAAGTTGATACACAGACAGGAAATATTACTAGATTAATTGTAACTGCCTTTTTTTTCTTTTTGACTTTGCTGGTGGAAAAGACTCATATCATAACATAATTTATTTATAAATGCTTAAAGTCATATTGTCCTCCTCTCCTCCCTGCAGTCGTCCGGCAGGATCTGAGCCCACACCCAAGTCTCGCATCTCCGAGCTCCCTCCCATCAACGCGGAGCACGTCGGAGGCTACCGCCTGGCTGCAGCCACCTTCGCAGGGGTGGAGAACAAATTTGGCCTCCACCTCCCCAAGTTCAAGTCCTCCGGCGTGGCGTCCATACATCACCCAGAGCCAGTTGCTGCCACGCCAGCTCAGGCCCCCTAGAGGCCCCAGCATCTCCATATCATTCTGCTATCTCTCTCCTCATCTACCAGGAGCCAGAAACTTAGATACACAAACAAACACAACGGTTAACATGCACTCCACAAATAGGGGCCATAAGGTTAGGAACAAACAGCCCATCTACTCTCTCCAGGGTGAAGGTGTGATCCACTGGTCCCACAGTCCCAGTTGTAGAGGCAGACAGACAGAGACGGGACCAGAGTGCTGACAGTGTTGTATCTTGAGTGCCTGCTCGCTCCTGGCCTCTTCATCCTTTGTGTTCCTTCTCTCCAGCATTTGTATAAAATTGACTCTCACTCCTGTCTCTCTCTCATGAGTAGCTGATATGATTTATATTTTGTTTTCTGTCTCATACTCAGTTTGAGTAGCGCTTCTCATTTGGACAGCTGGCATAGAAATGATTAGATTGCTCAGCATGGTTTTTGGGCGTCACTCTCGATACAGTCCTCACAGAGGAGGTTACGTACTGTACATATTGTATAACTGCAACAAAGAAAATGTTACGAGACAGAGCTCCAGCCGTAACATTCAGTTGGCATCATTATACAGTAGCTGTCATGTTAATGGCAACGTGGGGCCTTTGGTCATGGTCTCTTGAGAATCGCTCTTACTGATGTACAAAGTGTTTTCTTGGCGAAACAAGAATGACGAGCAGAGAATTAGGTATTAATAAATTAAATGTATCTCAATTCTGTCATTGTATTTTATTGAAATAAATCATCCATATGGGTTTAATTTTACTATTAAGTCTCAAGTTTTATTCCAATGGAGAAGTGTATCATATCGGTAACAGGAAAGAACACGGTACAATAATTCTCTGCAGAATACTGACAATTTATCCTGTTGTAACAAACATGGTGGCTACAGTGCAATTTTCTCATTTTATATATTGAAGCAAATTTATTTTTACAAGCCTGGTGACATTGGACTGCTGCATCATGAAGAAAAATTGGATTGAGAAAAAGTATTAGTTATTATCCAGCCTCATCTTTACTTTTTATTTCAACCCTCAAAGAGGACACGTCAGGAAACTGTTTTACTACTTGGATAGGTACAGAGTAGAAAACAACCTTTGGTACAGAGAAAACACCACTTAATTGAACTAGTGTCAATAAATTCAAGGCAAGTATAGTAATGGACTTTAATTGGGAAAAGCTTGTGCTAATTTTAGGAATGTACTACTCAAGCTTTTAGTACAAAGCATTTTTAAACAAAACAAAATATTTAAATAAGTGCCACCTTTGGAATAAATATTAAATATTGTTGTGGTTAAAATGTAAGAGTGACACACTTCCGCACAGGCCAGAAAAGTGTAAGCACATGATCCTGTTTTAGTCATCAAATTAAAGTGCTGCTTAGGATACAGAGGAAATGATTCTGAAATGTCAGCGTTTCTTTTTCTTTTGATTCCCTAAAAACACTCTGCCAACTGTGTGCACAAGTGTGTCCAGAAAATATTAAAACATGTAAAAACACTAAAATGGTAATAAAAAGGTGCAAGTACAAAGGTTTGCATATTTTAAAAAAAGGGCTGAGTTGGTTGAGGCCTCAGGACAGGAGCAGATTCTGGAGCACCGAGGATGTAATCAATGCTAGAAGTGTAGAGAGTGGACAGCCATGTTGATCCCGATCATCACTTCCCTGTGTTCTTCTCAATCACCTAACTTACTGTACTACCACTGCTACATATGACATTCATTGTATCTACAAATGTTCTCTTGAGGACATTTTAAAAATACATTTAAAACTGTCTTTTCTATCTGTTCTAGCTCTGCACGTCTCCTCAGGCCAGTTCATGTAGTAGTGGGTGGAAAAGGTAGAAGCCACAGAGGAGAGAACAGCTCCTCTTGGCAGTGTGTGTGTGTGTGCCATAGTTTGATAATGTACCGGGGCCGGTCACACCAGCTGGTCTCACATCTGGTCTTAAGCTAAGTCGCCGTTCTAAGTCTAACCAGATTGTTTGAAATATTACGCCTGGTCAGAAGCAGGCTTAGTCAAAATCTAAGCTGGCAAATGATGATGAAGCATTAGTGAAGTAGCTTCTCAATGTGCTGAGTCAAACCCATTCTCCGGCTCTCACACAGAGCTGCTGGGTGGTGTGTAAAATCATCTGTTTACAGTTTACAGTGCTCTCTCTCTCTCTCTCTTTTTGAAAGTTAAGAAGCTCAGAAACCAATATGTTCTGTGAAGAGGTCTATGATCTCTGCTCCATTTCATTAAATTTGCGCCATTGAATAATTTTTTTTTACAAGTAACTGCTTATAATTACAGCAACAACTTTATAAATGTGAAACAAGCCAGTTGGGCTGTCAGCGATCATTGTCTATCAGCACAAAAGTGGGTCTTCACATGATTGCGCATCGCTAAGACCGGGCGTAGTTAAGACAAGTCTTATGTTCAGTTGGTTCAACTGAACTTAAGTCCATTATAAAGACTGACTTAACAAAGACTGACTTAACAAAGACCAATTGGTGCAACAGGCCCCTGAAGAGGAATAATGAGCAGTTGTTAGTGAGGTGGGGTTTACATTATCAGACATTGGCCAGTTCCTCAGCTTCATCTCGGTTCTCATTGATCTCAGCCAGCGTCCTGACGAAGCGCGTCCACTCGTCAGCCTTTGGCACGCAGATTTGCTGCAGAACGATAAGGACAACAGCAGCGTGTCAAACAACGAGAGAAGATGTGCATTTATGTTCACATTTTACATTTAAAAGAATTATGATTATGATATATTTGGCTGTATTTCTGTTTTCTTTTTATAGTTATTTCTAGGTTATAATTTAATGCTTAAACTGTAAAATATCAAGCCAAAATTACAGCCAATTCTTTAAAAATATACTTATTATATATATATAAGTATCAGAGTTTTTTACACCACTATCAGTATCTGCATTGGCCCCCCAAAATCCATATCGGTCGAGCTCTAGCTTAAGGCTGAAATGACCAAAAAGCGTATTAGTTAGTAAAATAGTGAAAACGACGTCTCACCTCCCCTACGTCGTAGACCTGCACCTGTCCGTCTGAGTCCCCAGTGGCGATCTCTTTTCCAGTGTGAGCCCATCTCACACGGTTCAGTGCTGGAGACCCCTCCACACACACACTGGCAGTGGGAACCTAGAAAACACACATCAACTTACAAGAAAGCATATTCATGGAAGATCACGAGTGTTTCCATTCTACGATAAAACTGTGCTTTCAAAAAGATGAAACACTTTGAGGACTTTTAGCTCACGGTTGTATTATTTATCTTTCCTAAAAGACATTTTGGAGGCACAATAATTCACTTTATTGCCAAGATTTAGATGAAAAGATTGAAATTACTCTAATATGGTGCCAGAAAATAAATATTTCATTCTTTTACAGTTTATTTTGAATATTAGACACAAATTAATTTTTTTTCACTTTATTAGTGAGCTTTAATAGTGCTAGTACATGAATTATATTACTGTTTAAGGGGGAAATTAAGGTCTCGAGTTGCAGTGTGTGTGCTTGCATACTTCAGTGTCATTGTTGAGGTTCCACAGGTCCAGACGTCCGGCTAGGTCCACGCAAGCAAACAGAGCAGGGTGGGTTGGAGACCACATTGCATCATAGACGTAGTCACAACTGTCCTCAAATGAGTACAGTGGACGGGTACTCTGTTAGGGAGACAAGAGTGAGAAACTGATTCAAATTAAGGAACGCAACTAATGGTGCCTCTAATAGAAGGATGTGAGTGTGTCTCACCTTGGTGCTCCAGAGTTTGACGGTCCAATCAAAAGAGGAGGAGATGAAGAGATGAGAGAAGTCAACAGGTCCACCAGCGCTGTGACAGCTCAGCCCAGTCACTGGACCATGGTGGCCTTCGAACACCTCAGTGATACCTGCCTTACTGTAACACACACATAAGACACAGCTTACTGTAAAAACACATAACAGATGTCGAACACGAACACTCCCCCCCAAAAGGCTTTCCAGTTACTTTTGGAAGTCACAACATTTCTTCAACATGCAAACGGTAATCTGATATAAAAAAGAGTTACTGAACTCACCTTCCGTGTCGACAGGCGGTGTAAACGGAGCCGTCCTCACTGCCCACCACAAAGTTGTTCACGTCTCCCAGAGGGAAGGCCATGGAGGTAACAGCCACTGCCTTGCTCTGTTTGAACACCAGCTCCAGACTGTCCTACAGGGGAAAAGAAAAAAAGCACACATCCTCAGACTCACTGACATTTACAACAGTGACTGTACATCATCCATGCACATTCATTATACCTGCGGCTGTGAGAGCATGTCAAGGCTCCAAGAGCACATTTTTCCATCAGTGGAAATGCTGATCAGGTTGTTGGCGTTCTGGGTTCCTACCACGTTCACACAGTAGACTGGGTGCTGAGCACAATAGAGCACAGCAACATAAACATCATCCATATGTTTGGGAGCAGAAGAAATAATTGACAAAATACAGGCTGAAAAAACTCCACAGAAAACACAGTGGGGTCAAAAGTCAAAAAGGTGCGTGAGCTGTGATGATTTACTGTATGAGCAGCTGCAGACAGGGGGGTTCTCTGAACAGGGGTGCGCTTGTTGCTCCTGTTGTCCCACAGGACAATCTGTCCCGAATATGTCCCACCCACCACCAGGTTGGGGTGAAACTTTGCAAACCCAGCTGACATCACCTCTGACTGCAGGAAGAAAAAAATATAATTACAATTTCTGTCTTAATTATGGTTTTCTAAAGCATAAATAATAATTATTCAAATGTCCACTGTGTAGGATTTAAGGGAATCTCTTAGCAGAAATTTTATATAATATTCATAATTATGTTTGCATTAGTGTATAATCAGCTAGTTTTTTTATTACCTTACGAGGTAATGAGCGCCCGCCCTAGCCTCACCAACATGACTGGGAGTAGAGGGTCAGGTGAGGGGATTGTTGTTATATGCAACTTCACTATTAGATATCCCTAAGTCCTACATACTAACATTCTCCTTCTAATAAATAAAGAGTTGCTTGCAGAGCAACAGCATGCAAGTTCTTCCCTCACCTGGCAGTGGAAGATGTACTCGGGTGTGCCCTTCTTGTACTTCATGTTCCAGACCAGTGCCACTCCATCAGGCTCATGAGGAGCATCCTCATTGTTGTTGTATGAGGCCAGGAGCAGTTCTGGGTACTGAGAGAAACATAGCAGCCAATATTAGAAGCAGTGAAGAAAAGCAAGAATCTTTAAGGGGATTTAAAAATCATAAATAAATCAAAATAGGCTTTTTGCAACTGGTTTGTTCTTTAAAAAATTATTTCTCTGTGGGCATCAATAACACCTCATACCTGAGGGGACCAGTCAAGACAGGTGACCACTCTGTTTTTAGTCCAGTGCTCATCTGCAAACTGTCTGTTCAGAACCAGCTTTGCTCCCGCCTGCAAGTCACTGAAAAAGACAGAAAAGACGAGTACTTGCAGCACCTATCCATCTGTCTATCACCTTTTCTCTATTTACAGCACTTATGTTAAGGTTTCTTAATTTGCCTCACCCCTCCTTATCCTCCAGATCTCTGCCACTGTAGTCGAAGCAGACGTCCACCTGCTCAGCCAGAGCTCTCTCAACAATTCTGCTGCCTCGTTCGAAAAACGACAAGAACTCCTCGGAGTGCATGACCTGCAGCTTCTCTTCTTCAGTCAGCTCCTTGGGAGTTTCTATACAAAGATTATTCCGTATTCAAAGAGGAAAAAAGTTAAAAAAGATCTTTACTTTTCCTCAATTTATAAGATGGAAATGAACTCAAAGGTTGGATAATGTAAGCTGAAACTACTTGTTTCTAGTATTCTGCATTATCTAAAAGCATTTCCTGTCACTGTTATTTACATGTTACAAACTTCAGTCCTTACCCTCATCCTGCTGTTCTCCCTGTTCATCTTTGTCTTCGTTGGTGTCTTCCACTGGAGCAGGAGCAGTGATCTCCTCATCCTCTTCCTCATCTGGAACAAACACACATTTAATTTTGTTTTCACGAAAAAGGTTGGAGGGAAGGCAAAGTGTGATTGTGTCTCTGTTTTGTTACCTGCTTTTTGATCAACGTGTGACAGTGCCTCGGTGGGTGTCTGCGTTTCTTTGGAGTAAGAAACCATTTCCTTCGGGACAAATTCCACCTGGGTCACTTTGGACATGCCCAGCCTCACAGCGCCACGTCTGCACACACACACACACACAAAAACCACAGTGGACATAAGCACACAAATACACAGGATTGTGATACAGTGGAACTGAATGCAACGTTTACATGAAGTAACAGAAATAGTGATGCACATAGATAATATTAACACATTTGGACAGATCTAAGATGAAACCACAGAAACTGATTAAGGCTGGAAGACAAGCTAAAGGAGAGAGGAGGAGCAGTACCCCATCAGCTCAGAGTCGGAGTGCAGTTGCAGAGTAGAGGGGTCAGGATCCCAATGCAATGTCCTTATACAGCCAAACCACCACATGGTATTAATAAGAAGAAAGACGGGACAGAGAAAAAGAAAGAGGAAAACAAGAGGATGAAACAAAATGCATAAAACAGGCAAAAGGTGAGCCATATAAGAAATGTTAAAGATTGGAAAGACAGAAAAGAGGAAGAGAAAGGAGGACAGGGAGAGAAGAAGTAGAACGGAGTGCATGTTAATTTAGACACATCAGCATGCTGGTGAAAAGGCAAAGAAGAGACACGTCAGAATTCATCAAGTGTAATTACAATGTTAATACACACACTTAGCATGCAAGTACGACTCTAAATCACATAAAATGAGCTAGAACGACCCATTCCCCAACTCTCTCTGTCACACACACACAAACCTTGGTCCTGCGTTTCCGTCCCCAGAATCTTGGCTTCCTGCGTCACTGCCCACTGATTTGTTGGAGGGAGACATGGGGGCAGGGACTAGGTAGTGAAACAGACATGTATCTTCTGTTACTACCCTCAGGGGCTGAGCTGTGAGTGCGTGTGTGTTTGTAAGTGCGTGAGTTGATGAAGGGGTGGGTGAGTGGGGGAGTGATTGAGTTATGAAAAGAGTGTGTGGATGAGTGAGTGAGTGAGTGAATGAAGTTGCATGCAGTAAGGAGGACAAAAGACAAAAGGACGGACAAAGGGGAGAGAAGAGAGAATGAAAATAAATGGCAGGCAGGTGTCATGCGCAAAACAGTGTAAAATGTTGAGATATGTTGGGAAGACAGGGGGGGAAGCAGAGTGGATGAAATTAAGCCAGACCACAAAGTTAGAGGTGACATTTATAAACACTGCAACTCCATCAAGCACACAACCAGAAAATGAGGGGACATAAGTGGGGTGAGGGACAAAAATAGAGGCAGGCTGGCAGTGTGTGTGTACCATGGGGTATGTCAGGAGTGATGCCAACACTCTGCAGGAGCGCCTCCGCCTCCCTCCTCTTCCTCTCCAGGTCAGAATCTTCATGGCTGCCCGAGGAACCACCTCCTGCCTCCGCTCCACGCTTTGAATCTCCCTACAGCGTACAGAACGTAATCCACCTCAACTCAGCATGAAAACATATCAGACAATTTACAATTACTGAACACTGTCAGGCTAAATCATGGCAGCGATGAAATTAAAAGAGTTGAAATGAAGCATACATCCTTCTTTTTCTTCTCCTCCTCTTTTCTCTTTTTCTCCTCTCGAATCTGGGCGATCCGTTGTTTCTTCCTCTCCAGCTCAGCCTTCAGCTCACTCTTGTCGGACATACTGCAGGAGGAGGAAGACTGAATAACAACAGGCCACTACCCTAAATGCATTTTCAGTAAAAAGACAAACATTGTTTTACACAGTACATTAGCTATTTTATCTACTACATGATTATACTTAATAACACATCTCTAATTCGTGCAAGTATACACAGACACTTTAGCAGATAAGGAACCTGATTCATGATTTGGAAAACAAACTATACACGCAATACATATATTTATAGGACAAAGAAAACATTGATTGGACCCAGCTTATATAGGCAGTGCATATGGAAAGTATTGGTATAAGTTACTTTGGACTATGGGAAATTATAACTGGAATATTTCCCTATTTAATGGCATTTTATATTTTATAGGCTTAATCTATTTGTTGCTGTTTTATCTGAAAAATCTAGAAACTTGATTATTGGTATAGTAAAATGCAAACGCACTGTAAATCATTGGCAGAGATCTGTTCATTCATTGCGACCTGCTTTTATTGCAGAGCAACTACAAGATGAATCACTAAACATTAAACATCAGCCCCAGAACAGGTCATTCTGACAGGAAAGTTGCAATTCTATGAAAAAGAAAATCCGTGTGCAGACTTCACATAAGGGAGATAAGAGAAACACACAGTGCAGCAGCCCTGGGCCTGTCACACTGGAAACATGTGAACCACAAACCAGCTGTTCACAACAATGATCTCTTTATCTGCTCTCTGCAAAATGTCACAGCCAATCTTGAATCACTGCAGTGGTGAATATATAATATCAAAACTGAACATAACATACATGCGAGACAAATAAGAATGATTCCATTATGGTTTAATCTTAAATTATATATACTTAAGTTTGTTATGCTGACTCTTCATATCTTTAAATGGAAGTCAGAGCTCCCAGTGTTCTTAAGGATAATGGAAAAGACATGACAACATGTGCATACAACAGATACACACTCGTTATATATTAATGTGCTAATCCTATTAAGAGTGTGGTGAGTGTCCACAACACTGAGACAACAGGGACACTCAACATCTCCACCCAGTCTCCACTGCAGGAAACAGAGAAATGAGCTTCAGCGTGTGTTGCACCTCACGTTTCTTCTGTTGACTCCACGTCTGCTTTATATCAAGAATTGTTCACACTCAGTCTAGGTTCTGTCAAACGTTCATTCTAATCTAATTACCGGCTACACTGTCAGCCACACGCTAAACCGGCTAGCTGTGTTAGCATGCTAATCTCCATGGCAGGACGAGGCCCATCTCCTACAATGAGCGAATATAACGGAAACATCGCAGAGCAACGCCCCGGTTTCTTCTGTCACGCCGTCCCCGGGTGTGTCTGGAGGCAGCACGGCTGTGGAGGTGAAGAGGTGAATGTACCTGGTGCCGGGTGTTGGACGGAGGAGGCCGAGAGGACAACAGCTTATAGAGCGACAGTGATGATGGAGGTGAAGAACGATGATGCTGGAAGAGACACAGCCGCTGCAGTGCTCTTCTTCAGCGCTCCGCCTGAACACCAGCACGAGTATTACCGACCTCTGCCGGCACAAACGGGAAACTGCATAGGGATTTCTCAGGATTTATTATTAGATTAGATTAGATTCAACTTTATTGTCATTGCACACGTCACAAGTACAAAGCAGTTATTATTATTATTATATCACAGTACTCTACATATACCTGATCATACCTGATTCATTGTTACGATGTTGAACATTACCATCATCATCATGCACTCATGATGGTTCACACCACTCAAGCACTAGATGTACTGACTGCGCTAATGTTTGTGAACTGCCATAATATTTTGTATCATCGTGTCGAATTGTTCTCATATAGAACATATATTTTATTTAATTCTTTTCTGTTTACATGTATTTATTCTGCACTTCAGTTTTACTTATTATTATTATCATTATTATTAGCCGTAGTAGTAGTGGAAGTAGTAGTAGGAGGAGGAGTAGAAGGAGGAGGAGGAGGAGGAAGAGGAGGAGTAGGCGTAGCATATTGGCCCACAGCTAAGTTAAATCAGAATCAGAATCAGAATCAGAAGTACTTTATTAATCCCCGTAGGGAAATTCAAAATCTACCTTTAGCGGTCAAATAAAACAATGGTAGCAGGGAAAGAGACACATTTCCTACTTCTGTTATCAAACCCATGCAATGACAAATGAAATATAAAATCGCACACTTGATTTTTGTCGATCGCACATTTTATTATGTATCACAATATGAGCACTCATACACACATACTGTACTGTAGGTATAATGTTGGAAACCATGAGGAAAAAAGCTGTGTTTACATGTCTGTCTTGTTCGACATGATGACCTGTATGAGTTTTACGTTTAGTTTGCGGATTTGCTCACAGTCCTGTCATGATTGATTTATTTCTTAAGCACTCTGTTTTTACTCTTCTGGAGCAGGATTGGCATATTTAAAGGGGTCATAAAGGTCACGTTTGAAATCATAAGGGTCAAAGAAAGCAGGGATTTTCTCTATGTCTGGTTCTGCAGGGGCACTCTCCTCAGCTTTTGCTTCTTCTTCTTTCACCACTTTCTCCTCAGCTGGTGCCTCTGGTGCAGATGTTTCCTCGATAGGACGGGGGGGGTGGTCAATGAGGCAGTCAGGATCCCAGTATGGGTCGCAGTCATACTCCATACCTTTGGCAGCAATAATGGGAGGTGGAGGTGGAGGGGGAGGTGGGGCAGACTTTTTGGGAGCAGGGGGAGGTGGGGGAGGGACTGCAGCCTTAATCTCCTCTTCTGTTTTGGGCCTGCAGGCCGAGTTGAGTCGTGGGTCGCACAACACTGGAACAGCCCCCGTTGGCAGGTAGACGATCTGAGGTTTGCACAGCGGGTCTCTGGGGTTGCACAGGTAGATCTTCTGAGCGTTCTCCAGGGGGTCTGGAGTTGGAGCAGGTGTGGTGGGAGGTGGAGGAGGCTGGCTGGTTGTAGTTGGTGCAGCGGTAGTCGTCTGGACACCTAAGATGTTTTGGTAACTGGAGGCGTCTGGGCCGTAGGTCAGCTCCAAGTGACGCATCTGCTGATACAGCATCCTGATCCTGTCAATCTCATAGATCTGAGGGAGAAACAGAAAATGCTCAGAGAGGACACAGAACATTTTGAACTGAATAGATCCACATATGTTCATGTAAATATTTCCACTTATTCTCATCTTACCCCCTCAATGTGTCCAATGCTGTTGTAGAAGCGGTAGTAGGACTGAAAGTCAGGAGCTCCTCGGTACCACTTTGGTTCAACATTCCTCTTTGGTCGAGAATTAGTCAAGAAATCATGAGCCTGAGCTGAGTCAATGTTCACTGGGTTCAATGTGGAAGAACATGATAAGAGGAATTATAAGGACACACATTCTGATTTCATTAGAAATACAATTTGAGAAGTATTCTGCTTTTAACTGAGAAATTTTGAAAAAAGAGTATTTACATTCTAAATTTTGCCATAAACTATTTCATATATAACAGGTATCCAATCTATTTTATTAAACATAATGATGTATATGGAAGTTGTAAAGTAACATATGAACTGTGCTTATGGCATGTAACTTTGAAATAATTAGTTCCAGCTTCAAATGTACCTTAAAACCAGAATGTCTAAATGGCTGCACTTTAATTTACTATGACTTTTAACATGAAATACAGACTTTTAAGGAAATGTCAGCCTTTAAACGATATATTAATATTTAGCACCACTCAAAAAACATTCCCAGTCACAATATAAATGAGTTTTTACTGTTTTTAATCTATTTATACTTTGAATCAAACCAGATTACAATCTGCAATAATGTGATAGATCAAATACCTCCAGGATTCTTTACTTTCATAAGAGATGTTGCTTCTAGCAAACCTGGAGAGAAGCAGAGAAAGACACACATACAGAAAAAAGGTTAAAGTATGAAAATATATAGCCAAGATTGTAAAAACTTTCCACTTATGGCCTTGAATCCAACATTAAGTTATTGTCCCAGAGCTCTAACTCTTAAATTCAAGTCAAACAAAAAAAAATTAATGTATTTTACAAACCTGACATAAACAGCAAGCAGCATAGCGTCCTCAACAGGGACTCGTCAAATATCATCCTTGATGTCTGAAATTATAATATTAAGCAAAACCCCAATTATTGCAATTTGTCTTATATGGTCACTGTTATTCACGAAATAATGTTAAACTAAAGCACTAACAGCACATAACAAAAGGGCACAAAAAATGTGGGGACACTCCAACGTGTCACATCACATCATATGATAATTAAAACCAGATGTAGTACATCTGCCTTCAAGAAAAAGAAACCATGATAACAAAAAATAACACAACAGGAAAAATCCTATAAAATCCCAGTTGGTACTTCATAGGGATGTATTTCCCTGTGAAGTTACTACTGCATCTTGCTATTTGATCAGTTACAGAATTTTCTGATATTTATTTACCTGTACTAACTATTTTCTGCATCATGGGGAACCATGCATGGTCCAAACATGGTGCTAACATTAAACGTATATATTTGATAGGCTCTGCTTTTAAACCCAACACAGCTACTTGCAGACATTTTTTTAACTCAACATGCTCACCTGGTGTTGCATCTCCCCCGTCCTGGACTAATGTGCTGCACAACATATGTGTTCATAAATACTGCTGTTAATCCCGAGGGCTTTCCATTGGCCACTGACCTGCTGGCAGGCCTGACTCCACCCCTCGTGCATTTTCTGTATAGACGTGGAAGAGCTCATTAGCACGTTGAGCATGAACCAGCAGTAAAAGGTAAACTTCAAACAAAATGTGGAACCTTGTAAAGCCACAGGGAACAACCCCATGACAGCAGGGAATCCACTGGGTGCACAGACAGTCCAGTTACTTATATTTACCAAAGAGATTATAATCCTGGGTGAAGCCATGAGTGGAGGCATAATTCATGCATACAGTTTCCAAAATCTATATCTGCATAACACTGATTCGTCAGTCTGTTTTATGCTCCAAATTTGCAAAATATGGTGCCATGCACCATGTTGCTGTAGACTAATTCTTGACAAAACATGCCTGGCAGGTAAAAATTAACCCTCCGTCCCCAAAACAGCTGGATGTGTCCTTTTAACTTTGGTCCTGGCCAGTCAAAAAATAGAGGGGGAGCTGAGTCAACTGCTGTTTAAGTCCCCAAGAAATATGTAGGAATTATGGGCCTGCTTGTCCCAACACCAAGAATCTGTAACACAGACCTGGGAATTGTTGTTCAGATACTTCCAGGCGATTTCTCAATCTCTGGATAACACAAGTAGACACATATCTTCATATTAAATTAAAATCTGGTCAAAAAGTAAATTCCAACAGAAACTCCTTTACTTTGTCTCATATTCTGTGTCTTCTTGTTGCAATTGGAGACAAAAACATTGGGAAACAGATCAATTAAATCAAATATGGAACTAGACAAAACAAACAGTGATAAAAAGTGTTTTGTCATTGACTGGACTGTATAACTGGGATCCTTCAGGTATCTGTGAAATAGCATGTGATACTAAAGGGGGGGGATGCATGTGTTTTAGTGTTGGTTGCCCCACTCACTGACAAATATTTCATTTGCAGAGGTTAGCGATCTCTGCAGCGGCTGCAGGTTTGGTTTTGATCCGGCCCTTTGCTGCATGTCTTCAAAATATCTGAGATCAAAAAAAGAGTTATTAAATAAGAACATGCAATTCATATGTTCTGGCTAAACTTCGAACAAATGTCAACCATGGCTCAGTCAGGTAATATATCTTTCTTTATCTGATTTGTACGTACTTCATGACATTCTCGGGTCTTCTTTTGACCCAGTTTGACTCTCTTCCTTCATATCTTGCTCGGTGACTGTCCACCCATCCGCTGTTTGTCATTTCAACAGGGAAGCAAATTCTATCCTTCAAACCAGCAGGTGAGGCTGCGATCAAAGAGCACTAGAAGGAGACAGGGAGTCTGAAGGAGTCCTGCCAGGTGGCTAATGGTGAACATCATACTGTAATTGCTCTTTGCACATGACAAAAATGGAAGGGTACGGACACCTATTACTCTTCAATGATATACATTTATTTCCCCTGTATACTGGGACAAACAGCTGCAGTATAAACTCAACTATTTTCAGAGAGAGTAAGTAGGACAAAAAAACATTTTCACATTATTTTCCAATGCAGGCTTGTCAGAGTAACACTTTCATACTTGGTACTTTTTGTTATTGGACAAAGTGAATCTGGATGAGCCGTGTGGCAGCTGGACAGTGAACTGAAGAGATAAACTTTCAGAATGGATGAAAGATCATGCCACCTTGTCTATAATAAAAAATAAAAATAATTAAAAAAACATAGTTTACATTTTTTATAATGTTAAACGAGATTGTAAGTTATATCTCCATTGTTTTGTGCTGGAAAAAGTAAAATATGACCTCTTATACCAGCTATTGGTTAAACTATGTCACACACTGTGTTTCAAGTAGATGCTTATTTGTGATGTGAAATCTCTCCTGGGCGACATTACACACCTTGTAATCATTTTAATGCTGTTTTTATGTATGTATGTTGGAGACCATGTCGTGGTTGCATTACTGTGGCGCATGGCTTTCGTTTCACAATTTTAACACTTCACCTTCAGGGTATCAATTATCCTAACATGTGCCCCTCTGATCCTCGAGTGAAATTACACCTTGTCATGGAGCTCTCTGCAGGAAACAAGAGGATCCGCTCCAGAGAAATGTCTTCAGGTCATTCCAAAGCTACGCTACCTCTGTGCTCTTTGCTCAGCAGCTACAACCTTAATATACACTGAAAGCAGATAGTTCCATGATCACCATGCTGGAAATGTGGGCCTGGTTACCACAGAGGTCATTAAAGTTTGTATGTTGTAAAATCAGGTACAATTGCAAATAGTTGGCTGGAGCAGACTTTTGTTTTGTTTGCTGCAGATGAGATTAAGATGTATAAAGAATCCCAATTTTTTGATCAGGTCCATTGAAATGATGATTTAGCTATTTTTAATGATTTGGTATAAGTTCTTTTTACTAAGATAAGATGAAACTGTATTGCTCCACACCACGGGGAAATTCAGTTGTTACAGCAGCAGGCAGGTCAGAATGTAAAAAAAAAATATTTTAAAGGCAATAGAATGTTGAGTATGTACATAATATACATCTTTCACTGTAGTGGTTTGTATAGACATGTTATAAAGTAAAGTACAGGGGCACAGGATGATTGCGCGAGCAAGTAGAAAACCTGTTTTTACATAAATATCAGGACATATTGTGATTTACAGATGAAACAAATGTGCAAAAAGTTATTTTCTGTTAGAAATAGTGCAAATATCATGAGTAGAGGTGACATTAGAAATATTATATTTACCATTTCGGGGGGTGTCGCAGAGTCTGACAGCAGTGGGAGTAATTGTGATGGAAATGGATGCATAGTATTGAATGAGTGAGGACTAAATGGACGCACAGTAGGTCATTGAACTAAATGCAGGATGTGGACACTCCTCGTGTCTGATTTTCAGCAGAAACACCTCAGTGAGAATCACGTTATGAAACACACGTCATCTCGTGGAGGCTTCCCTGCTGCCACGTGTAGTACCTCCACTAGGTGTCAGCACAATAAAACAGCGGGAGTGCTGTCGTGGCTGTCGTGTCGTCATTTCCCTTAGGGATGTCTAAGGTTTGTAGTTCCTGTGCTGTTGACCTGTCAGCGTTGTAGTACAATCTGTCACTGCCGCTGATTTACTCGTCCTTCTGGAGGTGACAGTCTCGCAGCGGCTGCGACGCCAGGCCTCCTCGCGCTCAGGACCGTCTGTTCTCACTGCCGTTGCTGCTGTCGGCTAATCGGCGAGCTAACCGCTAAAGTTAGCTAACGAGTCCACCGACCTGACAGCTAGCTTGCTGGTAGCTCGACGTTAGCTAGCTGCGTTAGCTATCCAGGCTGCTGCTCGTAGGAAGGGAGGAACCCGCCCACCCCTGCTAAAACTAAACAGCCATTCCAGACAAAGGAGTGAACGGTAAGTGAATACAAGACTAAAGCAACGAGCTAACGGTCCCTGGCTGTACTTCACTGGGTGGTTAGCATCATGGTTTCAGGGGTTTGGCCACACGGACAGTGTGTAGTACTCTGGGGTTTGACAGTGGAGCTACGGTGACACCTCTTCAACTCCTCTGTCATCTGCTTCACTCTCTGGGTTGACTTCGCTGTCATGAGTCCAGCTGGAGGTGCGGTGACCGGACTCCAGCTAACTTTTGGCGTATTTCTGTCTGTTTGTGACGCCATATGATAAAACAAGCGATAGAACCGAGGTAGGGAACATTGTGTGAAATGCAGCCGAAGCCTGTGGTGCTCAAAGTTGGGTTCCGGGACCATCAGGAGGCCGGGACAGGACCAACAACTAAACTGACCTACGGATCTCTCTAACTTTTCTGTGAGATCAATCGCAGGAGACACTGACTTATTTAGGGAGCTCCATAGTTAGACCCCAAGCCACAGTGTTCAACAATAAGTATGGTGAATAACAGTGTTTGCTTAGCGCTTTGCACATCAGGGCACACATACATACTGAAGACAGTGGTGGTCTGCACATAGGGAGCACTGGGACATTTCCCGGTGGCCTGATGGTAGTTCTGGTATGTCCAGGGGTGGACTGGGATGAAAATTCAGACTGGGAACTTGACTCCATTCCAGGCCACCCTTTTCAGCCTAGGAACCAGGCCTGCCAGAGCACATGGATCTGGGGGCAGATACTCGGGGACGCTGCCACTTTGCGCACGGCCTGGTCACAGTGCCACAAAGCCTGGGGGACACCACCCAGGCCCAGCCAAAGAGCACGGTGCCAGGGCAGTGAAGGTTGCTAAGCTTCTTCTTCTTCGCCTTTGTTCAATTTATTGGCAGGTGACACCAACATTAAGGTGAATTATCGCCATCTACCGTGTCCCTGTCTTCTTCGTCAAACCTCTTCAGAATGCTCCACCTAAGGTTGCTCAGCAACATTAAATCACTATTCTAAATGATTACATATTGCTTTGTTCTTCATCATTGATAAACTTTTTTAAAGAATTCTAGAATTTCAAGCGCCTGCCTTCTCATGAACAATGTCTCTCAGTCACTCACTCACCCACACCACAGTAAAGTCACCCAGGAAGCCATGCACAGCTCCACTGGCCCATCCAGAGTGCACACAACCAGGCCACAGCACCACAGAGCCAAACAGGTCAAACTAAAGAAGCAACGACAGACAGAAAGAAAGAAAGAAAGAAAAGAAAGAAAGAAAGAAACACAACAAGAAATTTGAAAATATCACCATGTGTTCTATGAAACTTGAATGAGTATTGTTCACTATTTTGGCATTTTATACAGTAAATAGTTCATGATTAGTTGGAAAAAGAATTGCCAGATCTTTCAATAGTGACTTTCACAAACTTAAATACTTGTAGCTGCTGTAAATCGTCTTATTCATCAGACCTTCTCCTCAGATTTGGTTTGGGGAGGCATTGTCTTACTAAATGGACTCACAGGTTCTGTCATGAATCTCTGTTGCAAAGCATCTGGTTAAACAGGTATGCCACTGTCTTTTTGTTCCTTTTTTAATATAGCAGCCAGTATCAGCCATGATGACATTTGCTGCTCATGTAAATCTCCTCTGTCAGTGTGTAGTGGGAGCCCTGCAGGGCTTCTCACTCCGTTGCTGCAGAGAGAAAGAGGCAGCTAGGTGCTTGTGCAAGCATTTTGATTTGTTGGATCAAATAGCTGCCACCACCAGGAATATGTAGTGCAACATAAGTTACTCATTATACTAAGTCACACTTGCATAACTCACACAGCAGCAGAAGTCCAGCCTGGTATTGTTAGAATTTATCTGCAATTTGAAGAAGTAATGACCATTGATATTTTAGGGTAATGGCCCCTCCCTTTAATGACCTGTGGCTTAATTTTTGCTTGTTTTATGGAATGTTTGGAATGGGGAAGAGCCTTAACCCATAACAACGGAGGCCTCTGTTATGAGAAATCAGCACCACTTTCTCTTGTCTTGCTGTAATCTGACAGATATATTTGGAGTCACATTTTTCTTGTGGATGGGATCTTAAAAGTTGTTTCAAACTCTGTTGAGGGAATGTGGTGTTGGATCCCAGTCCTGCTCTGAGAGGATACACAGGACAGTTTCAGACCCACTCCAATCACTTAGGCTCCTCTTATATGACCACAATAACTGATTCACATAACAACACAATGTGTGGCAATGCACCTTGACGTTGGTTGCCACCTGCCAATAAACCAAACAATTTGAAACAGATTGTATTAGCTTTACTCCGCTTTACTTCACTCTACTTGACATTTATTCTACACTGTCAGTACGCTAGTGAAAGCTATCCTGTTTTTTTTTTTTTTTTTTAGATCCAAGGCGTCCTGGTGGTTCACTGAGCTGAGGCACATTGTGTCCTCTGTCTGTTACTGGCTCAGCGCTGACTCAGGATATGTCATCTCCCATAACCTCACAGCTGTCTAGATTTACAGTCCGTCTGTACAGTATGCTATGTAATGCATACTGTTGTTATGTAACATAGAGATCATATCCAGAGGTCATGTATGGTGTATTGGAGATATTCAGTATTTTTATAGTTTGGCTTTGGTTTTTGACTCAGATGGAAGCCGAAAGCTCCAGTGAACTGCTGCTGACCAGGAAGAGAAGAAGAGAGAGCTCCAAAGGGGACAACGATGAGAGGGAGAGGCTTGTGAAAATCCCCAGATGCACTGTGGTGAGCCAACTGTCACTAAGCAGCATGTTTGTCCAACACTTTCCATAGGTTTTGTGTGTGTGTGCCACACAGACAGGTATATGTGGATGCATACAGTTTGAACATAGATTATATGTAGATCATATTCTGTGTGAGGACAGCTAAACCCAAGTTCGGTCAATGTCATGTGTTTATACAATTGAAAATGAACTACTTTTATATCATGCTGTGCACCACTAGTCTCATTCACCCTTTCACACACAAGCTATAAGCTTCTCTATCACACATCCCATTCAAATAGTTTTGGCACAGCCGCCAGTGGGAAATTAGACACTTTGACATGCAGGCTGGAGGAGGGGGGGGGGATCGAACCACCGACCTTCTCATTAGTGGTCCTCCTGAGCCACAGCTGCCTAAAATGTCACCAGCTGTTTTAAAGCAACACGACATGCTTGATATCAACATCAGCCTTGTTTTGTCAGAGTCCAGGAAATAATGTTATAACAACAGAGGGAATCTGTTCAGTGTAAAGCAATAGTTTTTGTGTGAGTAAAAAACGTCATTGATCAGTCATAGTCTTTCATTCTGCTGGTTTGGGTCTTTTAGGGGCTGAAGCACCCTGCACCTTTTGCAGATGAGCTGGAGCCAGCGGATGGTAAACCCTATGAGAGGGTTAACATGGAGACGGCCAAGAGGGGAACACCACGTGAGTCAGATTCTCTCTCGACCTCATTGCACTTTTGTTATTCCAGTTTCTCCTCGTATTTCTTCTCTCTCAGTCTTAAGTACAGTCATATGCATACAATCTTGAATTCACTTTTAATCTTTCGTCTCTGTATGCCTTGTCTCTCTCCATCCAGCTGACAGACCAGTGCGGGTGTATGCAGATGGCATTTTTGATGTTTTCCACTCAGGTCACGCCAGAGCTCTCATGCAGGCTAAATGCCTCTTCCCAAATACACACCTCATCGTTGGAGGTAACCATGACTCGTGTGCGTCTCTCTCTCTCTCTCTCTCTCTCTCTCTCTCTCTCTCTCTCTCTCTCTCTCTCTNGTGTCTCTCTCTCTCTCTCTCTCTCTCTCTCTCTCTCTCTCTCTCTCTCTCTCTCTCTCTCTCTCTCTCCATATTTCGCAGCAGCTGACTTCCATCAGCTGCTTCTTTCATAAGTCTGAAACTGTGCACACTGAAACACTATCGAGATAACATTACAAGTCTGATGAATTTACTGTGGGATTTGCGAGTTGTTCTTAGGTTTATCATATTCATCTTATGAGTCAGTCTGATCAGTGCTTTTTATCAAATTCAGAAGATAAACATTGAATTGTTTTCACTACACCATCGTAATAATAATGAGCTGAGTAACAGTAACAGAAACAAGTATCTTTCAGTGTCCATTGCTTGTCTTTCCTTTCCTCCGTTACAGATTTGCTTCTTTGTGAACCAGAACCATGCTTCCATGGTTTATGTTCCGTAAATATTAACTTCTGTACATTTTTCTGACTGACCACAGTGTGCAGCGATGACCTGACCCACAAATACAAGGGCTTCACAGTGATGAATGAGGATGAACGCTATGATGCCATCAGTCACTGCCGCTACGTGGACGAGGTGGTGCGAAATGCTCCCTGGACGTTAACGCCAGAATTCCTCGAAAGACATCACGTGAGTGTATAAAAACATTTAAAAGACATAATTAGACAGTTAAGAATCTTGAGGTGAGAAACCAGCAACAAAATGTTTGTACTCGAAGAACAAGTGGTCCAGACTCCTCAGTGATTTTCTGTTTCGGAGACGAATCCACTGTGTTGATGTCTGTGGTATTGACCTCTCCAGATTGACTTTGTGGCCCATGACGACATCCCATACTCCTCAGCGGGCAGTGATGACGTGTACAAGCACATTAAAGAAGCTGGTGAGTGTCATAGTAACCAAAATTGTTCTGTGGTACACAAATAATTACTCAATACAGTTCAGTGTTTACAACTCTTGCACATATGAGACTGGATAGCATGATGGATTTAAATATGTATTTTCTTTGAGATTGTATGACTTATTTTGAATATCATAGTTTTATATTCATACACCACCAGGAAATAGATAATAGATAACTTTTTCCTCCTTTATCTACATTGGTTCACATTCTGTCTTTGTGAGAACTTCTGTGGCTCCAGTGGGAGCGATGTGAGTCTGATAAATCATCTTAAGTGATGGAGATTTTCAGACTATACAGTGTCAGCTCACTAATGACACTAAGACTCTGAATAAACATATAGTATAATATACTAAAATAATGACACTTCTGACCACCCAAACACTGAACCTCTATTTACTAACACCACCTTCAATGTATGTGGTTCTACATTTATTAGTCACAAAATCCTGATTATCATTGTAAATATGTGATATCAGGAGTCTACTCTGACCTTTGATCTGTGTTGCTCAGGTATGTTTGCTCCGACCCAGCGGACAGAAGGCATCTCCACCTCTGACATCATCACACGCATCGTCCGTGACTACGATGTGTATGTCAGACGTAACCTACAGAGAGGATACACAGCCAAGGAGCTCAACGTCAGCTTTATCAACGTATGAGTCTCTCAACTCCCTTCAACTTTTCTTGCGTGTGAGTATGAGAGAGAGAGAGAGAGATTCATGTGATTCATGGCATTTGCTCTCCTCACTCTCGACAGGAGAAGAAATACCACCTGCAGGAGCGTGTGGATAAGGTGAAGAGGAAGGTGCGTGACGTGGAGGAGAAGAGCAAGGAGTTTGTGCAGAAGGTGGAGGAGAAGAGCATCGATCTCATTCAGAAATGGGAGGAGAAATCCAGGGAGTTCATCGGCAACTTCCTGCAGATGTTTGGTCCTGAGGGAGCTCTGGTGAGGATGACGCTTTTCTATGGTATTGAATGACGAGCAGCACATCCTTACTTACACTGTTGATTGGGAGGGAAGGCTTTCAATTGTTCTGCTCAGTGACACAACGTTTGATATACCAGCATGTGAGTGAATGTGATTCTCTGTATGTTGGCCCTGTGATGCGCTGGTGACCTATTCAGGGTCAACGCTTTCTTACATTTAACTGATATGTAACTCTTCATGCCTCCACAGAAACACATGCTGAAGGAAGGAAAAGGCCGCATGCTGCAGGCCATCAGCCCCAGGCAAAGCCCCGACAGCAGCCCCACCCGCGAGGAGCGCTCGCCGTCTCCCACTTTCCGTCTCCCCTTCTTCACCAAGACCTCCCCTCCACCCTCACCTCCGCCCCACCACAGCGGCGCCCGCGGATACCTCATCAGTGAGGACGACGAAGAAGACGACGAAAACTGAATCGTCAGTTTGTCGATCCACAGCCAGAGTGCTAACAGTTAGCTGAGTGTTCGATTAGCGTGATTCTCTTCGAGCTCCTGCTTCCATCTTCTGTTTTTTTTTTTGTTTTGATTATTTTGTTGTTTAGCACCTCAGTGTCACGTTAATTGTAACAACCAGTGTCTCCACAGCTCTTGTTTTAAACAGACAATTTTGTCTCCCCCGTGTTATGGTCAGTAAAAGTTACCACTAGTCACTTGAGTTCTTTCACAATTTTCTCATTTATCTCAGTCACTTTTGATGTTGATTTTTATTAGACAATGCCACTTAGGAATATTTGATGGTATTGTAGGAGTTTGTGGTTTTGTTCTCGTCATGACGTTAGCGGGAGGGCTCGCAGGGGTTTCAGTCACTTGTTGGAACAGCACGTGTTGCCTTGGTGTGCGAGAGGTGACATTGTTGAAGTTATCCTGGAGTAGGTCCGAAAACTGAAGGTTTAAATGGTCTGCTCGTTTAATGCGGCGGCAGTTTACTAACATTTAATCAACCTGGCTTTTTTTTTTTTTTCTTTTCATACCAGGGGAAACTTCAGATCAAACCAGAGCTGAATCTAAGAGTAACGGTGTTAATCGTCCAACTAACAGCAGGTTTTTTCTCAAGTTTGTCGCCTGCTTTGGGCTGCGTGTGGCTGTGTGTATGTGCATGTGGTGTTGTTTTGCATACAAGCTCTAAAATAACATTGGCATGTTTGAAATGTCTTTCTCCATCTGTTGACAGTTCTGGGTTCAGCTTGACTTTACTGCATTTAGTTTTTGTCTGCGGAAGGGAATCGGTCTTTGAAAGAGACGTTTCAAACTGGATGCCTTTTTAAATGTGGCAGAAGAGAAATGCTTGTAAGGATGGCAGGGAGGGCCTGTTGAAATGTTGATGTAGAAACTTATTTTTGTAGATTTCATCTTTCCTTTCTTTATCCTCTGTACAGATGTGATCTTAATCATCCCCCTTGTAGAAGCACTTTCAGGCTGAGCCGAAAATCAACGTGAGAAGGGCTGGACATCTTTTCTTTTATGTGATGCAGATCTGGGCCACTGGGAGTCAAACGTTACCTCTGATACACATGTGATGCTAAGAGAACGTTTTAGGTTTTCAGAAATCAAAAAACACTGGAGAACAGTCTCTATTTGTAAGAAATCACATCTTTTGTTTAGTTGGAATCTTGAGCACAGAAGGTTTCTTAAATGTGTTCCCCTCATTGGTAACACACACGCACAGAAAAATACAAGTATACCAGGTACTAATCAGGACTTTGTGCTGTAGTCTGTGTAGAGATCCGTGTTGGTGGCCTGGACTGAGTTTCACATGTGGGTGAAGGGTTCGGGTTCATGCATCGTTGAAAGTCCACATTTCTTTGTAGCTACCTCCTTCTTCCCTAAACTGATTCTCTTTTCTTTAGATGAGCACAAGGTGTGAGCGTTATTGTTTTTCCTTTCTGAACAGAGCCATTGTTACAGCACTGAACCAATATGACTGGTTAAATATTTGATATTCAGGCCTCGGTGTGTGTTTGTGTGCGCGAGTGTGTATTCATCCTGCATCTCCAGTGATAATAAAGCATGTGTTGTGTCTCCTATATAACCAATAATGAACCATCACAGGTGACCTGAAGATGTAATGCAATATTGTTAAGACGACTCCAATATAAATGTTGACGGATCAATCTGTTCTAGGCTTGGTTTCTCAAAAGCACCTGTGGTTTAAAATCAGTCTTTGCTGCAGCGATAGAAACGGGCTCTATTCTTGTGTGTTGTATGTCAGATTTTAAGATTTGTGGAGGACGGAGTAAAAGTAAAGAATTCCCAGTTATAAATGTTCTACTTTTGGTATTTAAAAGTACAAACCTGACTAATCTGCTGAGGAAATCCAGCCTAGATTTTGGTGCTAAGCTACTTTTGGGAAGCCTTGCCTTGATTCTTGTGGAATCTGTTCTTTTTAAAAATCAGTGTGAAACTTCTCAGAGCATGTTGTCAATGTTGGCAAAAGTCTTGAGTGGTGAGTCAGTGACAGCCACCGCTGCAAAGATTTAAAAAAATGTTAATGTTTTAACAGCAAGTGTTATTTTACTGTTTGGGGTTCATTTTGTTTTACGTCCTGGATGTAGAGGAAGAAGACAGGAAAAATGTATTAAACAATGTCGGCCAAAGCATTTCTTGACCAGTGGTTTTCTTTCTCATGGTTTAAATTCTCATGGTTCCCAGAATCAGGAACTTGTGTCTTAAATTTCTATTTAAACTTCAGATTTCAGCACAGTTCACTCAAAATATTAAGATTTTAGAAAAGATTTTAAGCCCGATGTGTCTCATAAATGGACACGATGAAAACCACGCTGGCCAAAGCCACGTCACAACCAATATTACCCAAGATTCATTATGTCTACAGCTTCCCCCCGCCCTCATTTCAAACAATGTCAAGAGGAAACAGTGAGACAATGACATTTAAACAAGCTAAAATTATGTCAGGCGATTGAAAATAAGGAAGGAGAGTGGGAGGGTTTGGTTACATAGTCAGATTTTATTGGATAGAACGGTCACCAGGGCTACACACATAAAGAAGCAGATAGTGACGAGGCAAACACCAGGGGGAGACCTCACCTCACTGCAAACACACACACATACTTCCAGGGCCTGATTTTTGAATCAAGATAGTGTGACGAAGTTGATATTAGTGCTTAAGAAAAATGAAGGAAATGGAGTCCTAACAAGTATGATGGTCGAACTTCTACACTGTCTGGAATGTTCTTTTATGTTCTGACTTTACTTGCTGGTAAAAAAAAAAAGTGGAAACGGGAACGAAATGACATTAAAAAAAGTACAAAAAAACCCCCAAAGAGCTCAGTCATTTTAAATCCTCCTCTTTCCACTGACAAGAGATCCAGAGTGACAGTTCCCGAAAAACACAGATCAAACATCAGTCAGTGTGCAACACAGAATCAGACGACGCAGCTCGATTTGAAGGGTTGACTCTACTGAGACAGAAGCTCATGTACAGGAAACTAGATCAGGATTCATTGTAAACCACAACAGCTACACATCATCATAGCGGGGATTACTCTACGACACGTGGGACTTCTAAAGGAAGTGGATCGTCGAACAATAACACTGAATTAACACAACAGAGCAACCCTGAAAGACACCAAAGGGTGCCCCCAGACCTCTCCCCCTGGTCCCCCCCTGCATCACTTGTCTTTTCCTTTCGGACACCAGTTGGTTTACAGGTTTACTCATCACTACAAGATATATACGATACAATGGTTCACATTTTGCATATATCTGTGCATTATACCATATTTATTTATTTTTTGATGTAAATTCAATCTCCAACACCTAGTTAGAAGGGGTGAGGGGAGGTGGGAGGGGTGTATGAGAGAAGCTATAAGGAAGTTGAGGGGGAAGGAAGAGAAGAGACAAAGTAGGAAGAGGAAGAAGAAAAAAATCTTTAACAGGATAGGATGGGACGGGGAAGTGGTCAGCTCGCTGCACGGCAGGGATCATTCTTCAGCAGCGCGTTTCGTAAATGCCTGAGCGGCCGATGTACCGCACCCATTTGATGACGTCGTGGTCACTGTAGTTGAGCTTGGACTCAAACACCTTCAAGTAGCGCACCTTCAGACCAGACGGCGCGAAAGGAACCTGCGGAGACGAGAGGAGGGTCAGGGCGTGTCAGGGCTTGCTGGGTAATGTAGGCCACACGTGTTACTGAATGTTGTTGGCATTCTATATTCTATGCAAGACAAATAAAGAAGGCAGCTCTGAGCAGGAAGTGTGCGTATGAGGAAGAGCTTGATGTGATTTGCATGAGTGATAGTAGGACCACATTTAATCTATAATCTGTTTGTCTGGCTGCTGACTCTGTACATGACGTTTGTTCAAACAATATCGCATATTTAGTCAGCCAACTTTTTTTGTCTACATTACAACAATTCAGAAAAACTTTGTGTGTGAGAGAGAGAGGAAGGTAGACAGAGACTGTTGGATTTTAATGTATCCTGACCTCAAAGTTCATAGAGATGGGAGGCCTGGCCCATTTCTTCTTATCGTTGGTGGGCAACAGCTCGATCTCAGCGCTGATCTGAGACTCTTTCATCCCAGCCATGCGTTTGATCCTACACACACAAACACACACAGTAAGCTTGGTGAGTGTCATTTATAGTTTCAGTTACAAACAACCTCATTTTAAAAGTGGTATTAACAAGGACCAAGGGGAAAAAAAGTGGACTTCAAAAAGAGGACAGTCTGTGTAACAACAACCAGGTTAAAGAGAAGAGGATGTTAATGATTCATTTAACTCAGAACAGTTTGCATACATCTTGTGAGCAGAGCTACATCAACTCACTTCCACACGATGGCGTTCTCACTGGCCTTGTACTTGGCTTTTCCCTTCATACAGATCACCTGCACTCCGCTGGTGTTGAGGGGTGTTGGGATACGCACCTGTGAGATTGATAATAAGCCTTTAATATTAAAGCAGCTAAGAGTCAGATGCATATTTGCTTTAAGGGTTTACAATTGTAATGTGTGGAGAATAGTTTTAGAAATCAGGGTGTGGGTGTGGGTGTGGGTGTGTGTGTGTGTGTGTGTGTGTGTGTGTGTGTGTGTGTGTGTGTGTTGCTTTATGGTAGTTTGCATTTATCACCAGCGTAACTGTGATAAGATCTCACCTCGATCTTCTGAGCCAGCAGCGAGGGTTTGAAGTTGGACTTGATGACCACCTTAACCTCCAGTTTAGTGCGCCCCACCTCCCGCACCAGAGGGATGACCCTGAACGGCAGGATGATGTCCTTAGTGGTGCGATACCTGCAAGAAGGAATCATTTCATTTTAACACAAGACTTGCTTACTGTTCACACATACCTCTCTCTGTCATTTCTCAACACTCAAACATTTATTTCAAGAGAAATTGTTCCAGGTAACAACAAGTCTCATGTCCCGCAACCTCCCGCCCTTTTTCTGTCATATTCAAACATCCATCTACTGACCTCATGAGCTCATATTCTCCATCGGGGGGGATGAAGCTGATGCTACGCTCCGAGTCAAACTTACTGAGGCGCACACACTGGTGGAAAGTGCAGTCGTCGATGGCGATGGACTGCTTCCCACTGCTGGGAGAGAAAACACATGAGACAAACAGAAAGAAAAAGTATTAGTTACTTATATATATATAATTAATCAAATATTGAAAATTATGATTCCCACATCTCCAAAAGACAAAACTACTACTACTATCCCTCAACTATTGTCTATGATCAAAAAAGGAACATCAACACATGAGGACAGAACTGTTGCTAGCAAGACATGAGGTAAAAGTTAAAAAAGAATAGAAAAACAATCAGTTAGGCAAGTTGCTAAAGGGTTAAAAGTCAAGCAGGGAGGTGTGGGGAAACAAAACAAACAAACCATTCTACTAAAAGAAGGAAACAACCACCAGGATGATTTGTACTGAGTGTGGGAGACAGTGCATGAGATGTTCATGTGCTTGAAGGCTTGGACAAGACAAGTGTGTTGGTAGAGTGTGTGCATGTTTGTGTTGAGTTGACAAAGGGTGGACACTTGTCAGTACAGTACCTTCCTCCCCCTAAATCACTGAGGTACAGCACATAGAAAAGAAAGAGAGGGAAAGAAAGGAGAGATGCATCCAAAGAAAAGAAAAAAATAAAAATAAATTGTAAAGCCAGTGTTGTTATCAAGTAGACAACACTCAAACAGACAGGGGGCTAACACACAAGGTGGTGTCTTACAATTTTAACACAACAATGAATTATCTTGTCAGGATATAAAGCACCACATTAAATACAGAAACTTAATATGCAGATTATCCAAATGATTTGCAGACTCACAGTTTAAATATAGTTCATTTTCTGCTGAAGCTGATTTGTGGTCTCTCACCTCTTCCCTGCGTCATCCGATGCTCCTCCCTTTCCCTGTTTGTCAATGACAATCTTGTCGTTCATGCCAAATTTACACTCAGGCATTCCACTCAGGTAGCTCTTCATCACCACTCGGCCTGACACGTGAGCGCTGAGGACCTGGCCTGAGGGGCAAACAAAATAAAGTGAAATACAATTCAAACCATTATATTTTTTCCTTTTCTTTGTGTTGTGCAGCTTTTTCCTCTCAACACTCCCAGCTCTGTTTAAAAACTAAATCCAAACTTGTAATACTATTATGAGAATAAAGTTGTAATTAAATGAGAAATGTATCATTTTTACATAATTCACAAATCTGTTTTCATTATGTAATCTTTTTAAACAAAATGTATTCTGAATGATTGATCT